TTTTATTCGCCGAAAATCGTTGCTTTGCATTTTAGTTTTTGGTTCTGGTTTCGATTTTGATTTCGAATTATATCCGGTGTGTGTTCGTAATGGGCACACGTTGCACACAAGCAGGATGCAATTCGAAAAAAAAGAGCTACCATTTAAATTGATTTTAATATTTTTATGGTTGCAGTTTGTGCATAGTGTGCTCGCTAGTCAAATAGTGGGGTATGAAGGAGCACGAGTTTGCGACGTGATCGAATGTTCATATTGGCGCTACTTTGATGCATCTCATACACACCGAGAATGAAATAACATTAAAATCCAATCCATGGATAGTTCGCACGAAGTAATACAGAGAATTTGTGTGTGTGCCAAAAACGAACGAAAACGGCTGCTTTTTCCGAAAAGGTGACGGAACGAAGAAGAAGTAAAAGAATGTATATAAAAATAAACGACAAACATAGATAGATAAATTCGATTGGCACCACAAATAAAAACGGACCAGAAAAGAACATAACTCCCAAAAAATGTCAACTAAAAATTAACAAAAAATGCACAGCAACTATTTCGAAAATGTTGGGCCGCCTTTATCACACAATCATGCTATGTGTAAATAAAAATTGACATAGCAATCGAATTATCCAGACAAATGTACAAAGTGAATGATTTCGCTGTTTGCAGATCATCGGTGCAGCTTTTTAGGCGGACACCATCTGCAGACCAAATCACAGCACAATGGAGTGCGACTACTTTTTTAATCACGATGAATAAGTAATCCCATGGCAAAGTTATTAAATTGATACATTTGATTTAAGAATAATAAAGCTGTACACGATTTTGTTAATTTATCGTCGTTTACTAAGAAAATTATTGAAGAAAATATGCGAACTTTTATGTTATCCCAAAATGTCTCCATTTTAATGGGGCATAAAAGAAAATAGACACATTTAAGCGATCAGAAGAAATATGAACAAAATTATTGAACAGCGAACGGCATGCGTTATATGTATAAAATTAAAGACGCACTTGAAGGTTCGTACAAAAGAAAAAAAAAGTCAAATAGAAAAATTTGAATGGCCTTAATGCCATTTTGACGTCTTCGTCGAATGAATAGAGAGAAAAAATGCTTAGAAAGAAATGTGTTGTCAAAACTTAGAACTAGAAAAAAAAGAAAGTTTTTGGCACAAGCGAAATGTCATTAAAAAAATATGTATGTAGGACCGTAACTCGAAGAAGCTTTGTCCATTACATCAAACAAAAACCAACAATAAAGAACGATTCCATTGGAAATCATGGTTGAAAAATAAATGTGAAGGAAAAACTTCAACCAATAACCGGAGTTACAAATCGATATTTAAAAACTTTTACAATAAACATTTAGCAAGAATATATTTAAATAGGTCGGAAATGTGAATGTCGGTGGTGGTCGTTGTGTTTCTATTGTTTAGTGCGGGATAGGAATGGTTTGGTTTTGTAAGAAAAAGAAAATGGTTCAAGGTACTTGTGAATAGAGAAAAGAAAAAAGAACAGAGAGCGAGAGAAGAAAATTACGTTAAAATGTGTTGCACAATATGTGTTAATCGAAAATTGGAAAATTTCGAGTGTGAACAGTGATCGCATGTGCTTTGTTCATTACGCATCATTAGATGAAGATGGGTTTATCTCGCTAGCAAAGAATCACACTCAACCAATCAGCGCTAAAGCGCAGACGACATATGCCATTTTAAAAACAGTTTCTCTAAACTTTACTGTATTCATCTGTCGGAATATGCACTTTTCCATTTGACTTTTTTCTTTGGTCCATTTTCGGATTTTCATGAAGTTTGTAACTCAAATGCGCTAAGCGTTCATATCTCAATATGAAGAAAACCACAAATTTTCTCATAATCACATTTTGAGCAACCAATTATTTAGTCAGTAATGCACGAAACTTTTCAAGTATACCATTTGTCACGTTAGCAATTAGTCGAATAAGTTTTGTGTGTGTGTGTGTGTGTGTGTGTGTGTGTGTGTGTGTGTGTGTGT